CTACAACATATTGTTCAAAGGACTTTATGCAGTTAGTTCCCCACAGAATTAATGAATGTAATACATTGCAATGATCAGTACACAGAGTCATGGATATTTTCTTCAAACAACTTTTCAGAGTTGCCACTTGCCTTTATTATAAAATATTTTAATTAAAAGCTAAAATTTAACATTAGCATGGCATGAGCTCCAATAAGATCAGTTGTTTATTGTATTTTTTAAAAGTGAATATGTTTTAATTAGATACTTATATATTACACATATTTTAAACTTCAGTAAGAACCAGATGTTTATCTGGGGTAAAGTGACAACACTTAACTGAAATTGAATTATCTATTGTACTTCATATGTTCCTAAATGTTTCTGAAACTCTCATGATATTAAAAGACATACAGCCTATCTTTGTTAATCTAATGACTTTAATGTTAGAAAACACTGAAATTAGAATAATAACTAATCAAACAGTACTCTATTTTTTTACATCAAACAGCTATGGGATAAAATACATATAATAATTAAATATTTCTTAGAGCAATGGCTAAAAATAAAGGAACATACACAGATGAATGTTTTAACCATTCATGTCTATTCACTTTCCCATTGAATCTGTGAATAGAAACCAGAACAAGATGAGAAAGGACTGGACACAGCTGCAGAGCAAGTGGGTGGAAGGGAATGGAGGATGGAGCGAAGCTTCCTACAAGATATGCACATCAAGAGAATTAGTTATTGTATTTTTCCCTATAGTTTTACATAGTTGTTCCCCCACATTTTGTCAGAGAAAATGGAAAGTGTTTATTCTTTAGGCTTATGAATGTAATTAAAACTTGTTTTAAGGAGTAGACAAACCCATTTCTTAAGATATTAAAAATGACAGGCATTCTTAATCACAATAATTTCACTGAAACCATAAGAAAATTAAAAAACATTTAAAATTAATGTCTGTCAGTTTTCTTTTTCAGTAGTGTTTCTCCTAACACAAAATTTCAATTGAAGATTAGTTTTATTCTTTTAGTCCTGTTGATTGGAAGCAAGTGACATACATCATTAATTATATTGTGTACAGGATCACATTTCAAGGAAGAGCTTTGTTTGACTGAGCTACTACAGCCTGCCTGAGTGCTGTGGAACTGTCATTAAATGGAAATGATGCCCAGGAATGTTGAACTTAATGTTATGTTTCCAAATACCATGAATAATATTACAGTATCTTTAATGAATTTCATAGGAGAAAAATGTCATTAAACAAAAGTAACAATATTAGCCCTGGTGCCCTGGCCAAATTCCAATCTGGCTAATTGCATTCTGACACCTACTATTTCTCAGTTGTTTGAATTTGGTATGTTTGTGTACCTCACTGTTTGTTCTTTGATATGTTAATACTGTATATTGTCCACCCATTGCTGTCTGACACCCCAGGGTGAGCCAGCTATCACTATTGAACATACAAGTGCTTTTAGTGAAGCAATAACTACAGTACATGACCTTGTAAAGATTCCTTTCAATCTACCTTCCCACAGTTCAAGTTATTTACATATTTCTTAACCTAACAAGTAAGCATAGATGCAACTTATTCCAGTGTTTTTTAAATGTACAGCACAACCTCACATCCCAGTTCTGAAATGATAAATTCATGAAGTCCATTAGCATACACTTAAAGATGGGCACAGAGGTGACCTCCCCACACACTTTATTTTAGGTCAGAGAGGAACTCTGAGCAATATCCCCTAATCAACACCACTGAACCATGCTTTGCTTTGAATTGAGGAGTGGTCCCTGAGAATGTGACCAGGACTATGGATGAAATTTAAGTGGGGATTGTCCTGGGTTGAGTGAGTGGTGGAGCTTTTTGGTGGCAGGGGAGGGGGCTATTGGGGACGCCCCCTGTGAGAAGCTTCTCGAAGCTCCCCCAGCTCCAAATCAGCTCCACTTCTGTTTGGGAAATTGAGCCAACTGGCTACACCTCTGCGATAACGTATTTAAGAAGGGACGTGGTGATGGGCAGTGGGACTTGTGAGGAGGAGTTGCTGCAGCTGCATGAACAACAAGGTCAGTGGAGGAACAGAGGAAGAAAGGAGGGGGGAGGTGTGCCGGAGCAGAGACCCCCCTGTATCCTGTGGTGAGACGGCAGGGCGGCCCCCCCCGCTACCCAGGAAGATCTACAGTGGAGCAGACATTGATTTATGGCCTGTTGCTCCTGTTCATCTGATCAAGGTTCTGTGCCCGAAGAAGGCCAGGATCTTGTGGGAAAAGGTAGCCCCGTTGCTGTAATTCAGTGCTGGGAGGATTGCAGCATGCGGGGGAGTCCCACGCTGGAGCAGCTCGGGAAGGGCTGCAGACGTGGGAGGGAATCCAGTCGGAGAAAGTTAGTGACCCATGACAGAGCAGTGTGGGGAACGCTGCAGCCCATGGGAGGAATTCAAGTCAGAGGAAGTTTGTGGAGGACTCTCTCCTGTGAGAGGGGGACCACGATGGAGCAGGAGGAACAAGTTTCGGACACTCCCCTCACCGAAGATGAAGGAAGTGGCAGTGCTGACTGCACCCCCCATTCCCTGCCCCTGCGCCACTGGGGGAGGAGGTAGAGATATCGGGAGCAGAGCTGAGCCTGGGAAGAAGGGAGGGGTGGGGGGAAGGTGTTCTCAAGATGTGGCAATGCTTCTCCCTGTCCTACTCTGTTATGTGTTGTTAGTGTCTGTAATAAATATATGTTCTTTTTTTTCTTCCCCTGAGTCTTCCTTTTGCTTGTGATCATAAAAGGGGGATTTTTTCCCCATCCCAGTCCTATCTTGAACCCCAAGCCTGGCTCTCTGTCCCTTCTCATTGCCGGAGGGGAAGGGAGAGAGAGCTGCTGCCTTGTGGTTTGCTGCCAATCAGGACTAAACCACAACAGGGATATGCTCCACGAGCACAATTTACACACCTCAGCACCAACTAGTAATGGAGTCAATGGTCTTGAAGTAGAATTAGTCCAAAGTTAAAAGTAAATTCCAAAAATGTGGACTTCAGAACTGTTTTGTTCTACAGCTCTACTCCTGTTGGTTCATACTACTTACTTATATAGACATAGTCATATTTCAGTGCTTTATTCAAAGGAGTAGATATGCATTGTATTATTTTAGTGGTCCTTGATGTAAGGGTGTCCTATGTCTCAAAGTCTGGATTGCAGAATATTTGATAAAATGCTTCTGACATTGCCGTACTTGTTGACAGTTGTAGAGGGCTTACAGATGAAAAGATAAGACCTAAATACTGTCTCATTAAAAGTTTTTAAAAATATATGGGACTGTGATATGGAACTGCCTTAATAAGCATTCAAGCAGGATTTTCAGTGACAAAATTGTGTAACATTTTTTTATGTGTCTGTCACATCTCAAAGACATAATTTCTAATATAATTCCCAAAAGTGTCCCCATTCCCTTTAGTCCTGAGTGATGTTTGTGACACCCAATTCAGACATTCATGCACACTAATATTCCTGTTTGGGATACAGACAAGATCATCAAGGAGCATGTAAAACATTTAAATCAGGCAAGTATTTTTGCATTGACAATAATTAAAATGTAAAAATGCAACAAAACATAAGATCAAGAAGATCTAGTGCCAAATATCACTGTAAAAGTGTCTTCCTATCACTTAATGAATAGAGTATTCCCCAAAATATCATCTACAGTTAATTTTATGTAATCAAACATGTCCCATTTGTGTTAGAATCAAGCGCAGTGTCCTGTTATTTCAGCAGAACAACTGAATCCACATCCCTCCCCATCTGGTATAAGTACCCCAGAAGCTGCACAGACTATATTGCATGTTGCACATGGCACTGTTGTTTGAAGCCTCAAGATGCATATTAAACTACAGCTGGATTGCCACCATTAAGGTTTTGTCACAATCTGGTTTAGGGAGAAAGTCCATCATCTGGAAACAGTTGTGAAGTTTTAAATGTACATCATCAGATCTTCAGGACTAATTTCAGGCTTAATGCAGCCTTGGATTTTCTTCAGGTAGAAGAAGGAAGACAAAGAAATGGGGAGAAGAGTGACAGAATAAGTGGAAAAAAGTAGACAGGATCATGTGAGCACAGATGTTAACTGAAAACCACCTTTTTATTTAACTGTTACATATGTCTGCACAGAAGTCAGTCATCTGAAAGCAATCACAGTGTGTATAGATCATCTTAAGATTTCCATATAGGAAAATCTTTTTTGTCCCATTTTCAAAGTTTCTACTTAAGTTTAATGATATTTTCCATTCAGTACTGGATCACAACTAAGTCATTTCCAAGGTGATCTCTCTTTAACTCACTCCCTTGCACACACACACATATCACTACAACAGCAAGGAGGAAGGAGAGAACAAAAATAAAAGAGTGAGCAAGGATTACTAAAGGATTTGAGAGCCACAGTCAATGCCCTCATAGTCAAAGAAATCTACTGCTCTATGGGTGTTGGTGGCTCAAATCTTGCACACAAATCAAAATGAATTCATGTCTTGCATGTCCCCATCTTATCTGAATGCTCTAACACAGCCACTGGATTTTCAGGCAAAGATAAACTCATATATAGTCCTCTATTTTAACTAGAATTTTTTTTCATTCTGAGTTTGAGAAAACATTAATTCAATCTAGTACATTATGAGAAAAAATCATCTGCATCTAATGGATGTTAACTTCCAAAGAAAACAGGTTTTTAGCCATGAAGAACCTCACGGAATCTTTTTTAGTTTTGAATGTATATATAACTTCCAGCAAAAACATTGGGATTCCTTTTCAAGTAAAAACAAAGAACATTTGGATGTGATTGGCCAAGGCTAATTTAAGATCCATAACATAAGAAAGAAAAGTACTTTTAACTCCTGAATTTGTGACCAATCTTAATGTGTTGCTCTTTGATTAAACCTCATCTTGTGCCAATAATTCTCAGTAGTACAGCACAACATATGCTACAGAAATCCCTGAGGTAGCCAAGGAAAACCAAGCCAAAAACAGCAGAGAAGCTTCTTACCTGTCTAAACTCTTCCAGATCTATCTTGTTTCCCACCAGCACCAAGGGGATGTCATAGGTGTGTCGGACACGATAAATGAGTTCCTTAAACTCAGCAGCTTCTTGAAAGGATTGGCGGTCTGTGATGGAATAACAGATAATGAAACCTTCTCCACCTCGCATGTACTGGTCCCTCATAGCTGTGAATTCTGCCTGTGAAATGGAAAAAAAACATACTCAGTAATTTGGCAAATAAAATTATCCATCTGTAAATAAGAAACTTGCTGAAAACTTCCCCTATTCCCTACATAATTTCACATTGCTTGTTTTACTGTTCTAAATACTACTTGATGAAATTTGTGCATCTTTCTGGGGTCATCGTCCTGGATAATACAACACCAGGATTTTTCTTAGAACCTTTTCTTTTCCTTTTCCTATCAAATGAACTCTGTCCTCTAAGAACATGAATTTATTATGCAGGTACCTGCATGCAGAAAATACTGTCTTTTGTATTTCTAGAAACTTCTGCAATACTTTCAGTACACAGAGATGACTTGCAATTGAATTAATACTAACAGGTGTAAAAGAAGAGATTTATTACTATCTAGGGATCAGAGACAGGTATGAATTCCTTATTATGCACTCAATTCAAAAGCTCAATAATATGAAAGAGATATTCATTGACTCCCAACAGCTTTGGAGTAGTGCCTAGTAAAACAGGAATATAATCTGCAAAAAGTTCTACTCTTTCAAATAGCTGATCTCTGAGAAGCTGGGGGTTTCAGTTCAGTGTGGGATAATACCATTAAATTAATATGAAAAATTTCAAATAATGTGAGAATGAACCCAATTTTCTCCTCCACCATTTTTTTGTTATTTATGTACATATTTACTGTCACAGCAACACTTTTGGCTATCAGTATGTTTTTTTCAGAAGTATTTAACAACTGCCTCATTGTACAAAAATGAAGATTTATTTTTCAAAAACTAGTCTCAGGCACTGTGGCTTGAGAATATGTTTTAAAGCCAGTTTCTTTTTCAAGTTTGTTTGCTCTTCTTGATCACAGCCCAGAATAATCCAATACCATGGCAACAGTCAGTTAGGATCAGAATCCTCTTGACAGAATCAGTTCTCCAGAGATATTAAGATGCAGGAAGGTCTGATAAAGCAAGGAATACACATATCAACATTGGACCATTTCTACGAGCAGCTGAATGTAATATCAAGTCTTGTATTTTCTACACTGTTGAGAATTTAGGCTAGGATTTTTAAAACATTTTAGGTTATATATTTATCCTCAGTTCTTGCTGAAATTGAAGGGAAATGGATTGCTTATGCTCTTTTAAAAGCCTCATCCTTAAATCTCTCTCAATAGTCACTCATGTTGATTGATATTACTTCCTGTGAATAGACTTTCATGTTGACCATTATCATTTATTCATGATGTATCTTTTACCCAAGGGCTTTCTTATATATCATTCAAAATATTTCACCTGCTACAGGAAAAGGTTCATAGACTAAGCTCCAAAATAGCAGACTAATAGGCAATTTAAGGGTAGGATTCTGCTTTGAGACTTACTCAGAATTTCAAAATCTCTAAACTATCACCACTAGTATCCCAGGAGAGTTTATTAACTACCAAGCTACAGCACAGAGTAGATCAGGTCATGTTCTATCTCATCCTCTTGAAACTGCATGTGTAAGTAGGGCAGCAGTGGGGCGAAACACAGAAGACATCAAAAAAAAGGATCCTGCACTCTGCTGGTTTGGGCAAGACAGTGAATGGAGATCTGTCTCTGTTTCCAGGTCTTTGCCTGTCATCTACAATAGGTAGTCACTCTATTAATAAACAGTGCAGCATCAAACTGGAGGCCATAGACAAGGTCTCCAAGCTATTGGCAGGGAGCACTAATGACTAAACACAGAGACATACACCCTCTCCCTTATTCACCCTCAGATCCCAGGCTTTCCTGCCAGAGCAAGGGTCTCTAGACAGCCCTTATTCCCCCAGCCCCTCTTTGCATCAGTCACCTAGAACTCTTCTGCACCATGATTAGTAGCATAGTCTTCTTTGTAGAAGGAACTGAACAAGGCCAGGATCCCTTCAGGCTGGGCAGACAATGGAAACCCTGTGTGGAGTTAAACTTGTGGCTTAAGGCTCCTGAATTTAGCTGTGTAGCTGAAGGCCACTATCTAAGTCCCCATTATAGATAATGGTAAACTAATCAATGCAATTAATAGACTACAGATTACTTCTGCTGATGAAAAATAGTTATTCTTTACTTATCTAATTATCTATTTTTTTGTTTCTCTGTTTTAGAATGAATCGAACATTTATACAACTGAATGGAGATGCTATCTCTCATATAGACATTTAAAAGTATATGTTTAGGTATGGAACCTAAATCCCAACGCAAATGACCTGGCTTCCTGGGTTAGAGATTTCATAAATCAACTACTGTAGCACTGTATGATTAGTCTGCACAACCTTCTACAAAGCTCTGCCTAAGTGAGATGACCCACCTCTAGGAAGGGCTCAGATCTTTGTACACTCATTTATAGCCATTTATGGCAAACTAAGAAGGAATTTGGTCACATATCCCTGTTTAAGTTACTCAGGGTGAGTGTCTTTCTGCAGCATGAGGACTCCCAGAATCACTTCCCAGGAATGCTTAATGGCTTTCCTTGACTGTCAGGAGACTCTGGGTACCTAATTTTACACAGTGAATCATTCCGAAGGGACAAAGTGCTCAGCTTTCAGGCACTGTCATTCTTGAGTCAGAGTCATTTACCTACACGTTCTGGTTCATGTCTGGGCATAATTATGACTTTAAGGATATGAATGAATTTACTTCTGCAATTTTTTATTTTGACATGTTATTGCTGCTGATGTATTAGTCTAAACAGCCAAAATACTTTAGTGTCATGTTTGCAGTGATCCATTTTCAGAGGCATTAATTACTCTCTGTAAACTGGATTGGGGACATCTACTTGGTTTTCTGTTGATAACCCAGTTAGTTATTTCCATTCTTATTTTTTGATGTTGACTTTCACTTCTCAGCTTTTTCCCCTTGTCATGACTGCTCATTACAGAGTCAAGGACTGTAAGGTTAAACATAAGTAAGACTTTTCTTGGATTTAAAAAAAAAAAAAAAAAAAAAAAAAAAAGTGTTTTTTTTCCTTCTGTTCACCAAGAACCCTAACATGATAATATTTACAAAAAAAAAAAAAAAAAAACCACAAACAAGTAATTCATATAATTTCCAGTGAACATACTATAACACTTGCAGTAATGTATGTATATTATATGTACAAGACAAAAGACTAAGGTATAATTAAATCTCTGTTTATTTTTTACTTCAAGTCCTGTTACAGATTTCCCCATTTACATGTATATCTACAATAAGCGGAATCAAAATCAAAGTTCACCTTGGTTTTGTGGATGTTCAGAGGTAGAAGAAGATGGACCTAAAGGTTTTACAGATTTTTCAGTGGTTTAATGTTTATGTTTTGCCTGGGTCTCTTATAAAATAAGCAACAGTGTATATGTGCAACTGGCACATTAGTATCTTCTTTAATTGTTTCCTGCTGTAAAAATGGCTTTTTAAAAAATTATTCAGGAATAGTACTAGATGCCATTTTCTAGGAATAGTACTATATGCCATTTGTTACTCAATAAGAGAAAAATAGGAAACATTCCCAAGTCAGTAAACACCAAAGGGAAGAGACAGAAGGAAATCACACCTCCTCAAAAGGAAATAAATTCTGAGAATTAAACTGAAGATTTGTCGTGCTTATAGCACTTCGCAGCTTGACATCAGTCTATGAAACTCTCTTGTGTATTATGACTAAGACTTAACTGAAAAGTGTGGTAAGAAATCTTTTGAAACAAAGTCACCATTCTTCTTGGGAGAGATGTCATACTTGTGTTCAGGCATCAAGTCTAGATAGAAACAAAGATTTTCTAGAAGTTGAAAGAATGCAGTATAACTTTTTCCTTTTCTTTTTCTATTGTAATTGAATGCATAAAAAACCTGATATGAATCCTCATATGATTATGTATGTCTACCTGTTGTTGAAGAGTTAGCAAGAAAATCTCTCAGTGATTATGTTGCTCGTAAATAGATGTCACATTTACCTTTATCAGTTATCAGGCATCTCACATGTTTTTTCAAAGATGACAGAATGACCTCAAAATGACATAGAACAGTTGCATCAACACAGTCAGATGCATCCCGTCCTGTTGTATCGAACTGCATACATCCAGCTTAACTAACTTCTACCTTGTTGATCTCCCTCTACTAAAGGTAGTGCACCTCTTGCTCAAAATTTCCTGAGTGACATAAAGACCTGGGAGACATAAGAGCACAGTTTGACTGGTTTTAGAAGAACAATTTAGCAAAGAAGAAAATACCTAATCTCAGTTTTCTCTCTGTCATCTTGATTTATCTTCTTTTATCCCACTTTTCATAATGAGCAAGAGAAAACTTTTCATAAAGAACAATTTTTTAATTAGTTTTAAAATTCATATTGTTTTCATATAAATATAAATAAAACTTGTATGTTTTCTTTTTTTTTTTTTTTATTAGAGATTAGTATTTTTCCAAATAAAATCAGTGTCTTAATGTCTCCATAAGGGGAAATAAAGGCATTGAGCAGCAAAGTCAGATAGACTGCACTTAGATACCTAGATACTTATGAAGGATTAGTTCATGGGTTGCTATCAAACATAACAGTCTGGATATAATGTTTAGCTCAGGACAATCGTACCTTGCTGACTGAAAGAATCCAGGAAGGTGTATCACAAAGTTAGCTGAAGCTAAGCCTGGTTCTTTTCTGTTTCCTATGTATTTCCTCCTGAACAAGGCTGGAGAAAGAGTGCTGGTCTAAAAAAAGCTTTTATCCAACTCAGAATAGAAATTGCTAAGAATCAACCTCTTCCACATCACCATTTTACACCAGCAGAACTAAAAACTGAACCAATATTCCTGGATCCCCACATTACACATTGCTAATAGATGGCCTTGTCAGTCCCAAAAGGATAAGAGAACAGGGAAGGGAGGAACTAAAAAAAAAAAAAAAAAGGAAATAGGCAATGAGCAGGGGGTCACCCTATCTGTCCCTTCTTTTTCATTGTGTGCTGGTGTGTTTGAGGAGTAAACACAATGCGATTCTTAGAAGTGCAGTCTTCCTCCACACTCCGCAGAAGTGC